TTTTTTGTCTACTATATGTACTTTTCTGTAATTTAGGAAAATCTCTCTTCTAGTTTTAATAACCAGGGAAAATTTATAGTAAAAAATAGTCAGTTGTAACGTTAACATAGACTTTCCCTCTTTATGAAGCTTTATTCTGAATTAATTTTGATCTTTCCTAAAGGAAAGAATTAATTCCTTACCCCCCAAAATTTAAAGGTTTAAAAACAGAACACAGAAGGCTATGGTAACAAACTAGAAAAAAGATGTTTACACACATACTAAAGACAGAAGGTTTAGTTTCTTATTTTTTAAAGATCTCCTACACATTGATAAGAAAAATATGAATAACTCAGTTTAGAAACAGGGTGGTGCATGAGCAGAAGACACGGAAACGAGGAAAGCGGGAGACGCTGGCCTCAGCCGGAGGCACGGCAGCTGGCACCAAGGAGGCCCAGGCTGGGGAGTGGGCGCTGCTGTGGGTGGGCGGAACGGGCCCTGGAGCAGCCCCTGGCAGCCCATGCGGTGGCATGTGTCGTTGTGTGGAGGTGCTCATGCTCTGTTGGGTGCCCAACCCTGTCCTGAGCATCCTCACGAGGTTGAGGTCTTGCCGTCACTACGACGAGAACAGCCCTGCTATCTGGTGAGTGACTTAGGACACATGCATGTGGGAGACACTGGCTCCGCCATTGAGATGGATGAGGCATGTGCACATGTGCCCCCATGTGTGAGCTACAGGACAGGATACGCACGTGTGGACGCACACACATGGAGATTCAGCTACTAAGAATCATAAGAAACTTCATGATTATCTTTAAAAGTTGTTGGAGCTGTATGTGCTTTAGCTTTTGATTTGTACCTTTCTGAACTGTTTGAGCATTTTAATCTGCTTATGGTGGATTTAACAGACAATTGGGAGATAGACTCCATTGGCCCTGGGGATAGAACTGCAGAGACCTGGGGAGCAATCAGGGCTCAACCCTGGAGCCACACACCTGGCTGTCCCCAGCCCTGCCCAGGGTGGGACCTGGCACAGAGCAGCCACCCCTGCCCTGTGTTCGTCTGTGATAGAGGGTGGAGACAGCACATGCCCCCCTGGGTGCTGTGGGCGCCACGTAGATGCAGAGGTGAGCAGGTGGAGGGTCTCCCACTCTCGGGGAGTTATGGCTTTGTCTGGGAGAGAGAATGAGTGAATGGTGAATAAATGGGTGGTGGACAGGAAAATAGCTGC